CACTACATCTCTCACCCCATCACTACATCTCTCACCCCATCACTACATCTCTCACCCCATCACTACATTCTCTCAACCCCTTACTATCTCTTTCATCCCATCGCTCTCTCATCTCATTACTATCCCTCACATCTCATCACTATCTCTCTTATCCCATCACTATCACTCTCCCTCTCTCGATCTCTAACTCCTTCACTCTTGTCCTCCGTTGTGCCTCTCGCAATTTGTGTAAGCAGTGAGTGCAATGTCAACATTAGCCTTGTTATGTGAAGCGGATCATTTGGAATTGGTCCGGAAAGTGAAAAACATTTTTTGTTGTGTGTGTGTGTGTGTGTGTGTGCGTGTGTTCAACGAAGCATCGTCAACCTATGTCTTTTAGCTCCTGACTTGGGGAGTTTCGGCTCATGTGGGCCCAGCGTGAGCCGCTCCCCCGTCCTTGCGCCCGGCGGCGCCGCAGCCACGCGCCGAGCGACGCGCCAATCCTGCGCCGCGGCCGCCCGAGGAAGCGAGGTGATTCACCCGCGCGCACAACGGCGCCAATGGTGTTGTCTTCGCCGTTTGTCGTTCGCCGGAAACTAACGTTCCGTGTGAGGCCCCAGACATTCGAGATAAAGATTTAGGGACGTTGAAAAAAAAACGCTCGCTGTTAGAGGGGCAGGTTTTCCTTAACAATGATATAAACTAACGAACGGCTGTTGAAAATTGAACGTTTTCAATAGTTGACACTAGATTTTTTGTTAATATGATAAGCAATTATGCAGGTAAGAAGAGTTGCCAAAATATTCTAATGCATTATATTACATTTCGATGATATTTATTAACAATTCCATCTCCGCTCTTCACGTCAATGATCTGTGCACTATAGGCATTCAAAACTTTCTCTCCCTTCAAGATCAGCAAATTCAAAAATATAAGGGAGGAGAGTGGATATGGAATTACGTCAGGAGGGTGTTGTACGTGTAAGAGTTATTTTAAAAGGAGGAGGGTTTTAAAAAGTTATTTTTTGTATACCACCATTATAAACAATCTTTTCTGTTACAATAAATCGTGCATAATCGGGTATTTTACGGTACTAATAATGACGTATAAGCATCTTAAGGCACGAACGGTCGCGTTATCACACGTTCAGCCAATCGCAGCGAGAGAATCGTGGGGAGGTAAAGTTAAACATCATACAAGTCACCAAATAAAAAAATTCAAGACACTAACATCGCGGTGCTATTTAATCAAATTACCCCTACCTTACTCTTAGGAGATTTGATCTCCAAAAACACCAACTGGGTATACAGATAAATAAACTGCGCAGGCAAAAATTTACATACAAAATAACTTACTTAATCAAACGAAATCAAGAAACCAAACTAAATTAAGAATATAATAAAAAATCTCCCCTCAAAAAAATCCCCTCCACATGATAATATCAACAATAAAATTCTAAAAAAACTACCTACACCAACAATAGCCTTCATAAATAATATCTATAACTCAATATTAAGAACGGTTACTATCCAATACTTGAACTCGAAAATTATTCGTGTTCCAAAGCCAAATAAAAGTCACAGTATCCCAAAAAGTTACAGACCAATCCGTTTGTTGCCAACTCTGTCAAAAATTCTAGAGAAATTAATTCTGGAAAGATTAAATAATTATTTAAACAAAACACAAAACATACCCAAACATCAGTTTGGCTTTATTAATCAAGTTCCCGCTTCACACCAACGTCTTAGACTAACTGAACACATTCATTCATCATACCAAGATAAAAAGCATACAATAGCAACTTTCCTGGACATATCACAAGCCTTTTACAGAATTTGGCACCAAGGCAAAATTTGGTTCAAATTGCAATCAATAGGAACACCACTCTACCTGGTCAATATCATAAAACATGTTTTAGCAGATAGAACATTCACAGTGACAGTAGAAAAGCACAATTCAAACCCCCGTAAAATACAAGCAGGCATAGCATAAGGCTCCCCACTTTCTCCAACTCTATTTAATATTTACTCGCGAGATATTCCGACTACAAACCAGACCCACATAGCACACTTTGCAGACGACACAGTAATTTACAAATCAGCCAATCAATTAAAATTACTGAAAAAATACAACATCTAGACAGAATAGATAACTGGTCAACAAGATGGAAAATTAAACTAAACCCAACAAAATCCACTGCCAAAATATTCTCGCTAAAGCACTTCTACACTCCCTCCCCCTTTTCAATGAAAAACAACACAATTCCATGGACTACTCACTGTCAAACAGTTGAATACCTTGGGCTAAACTTAGATACAAATGTGAACTGGACTTCCCATATTACAATCAAAACTCAACAAGCAAAATGCAAAATAGCGCAATTAAAACCTCTAATAAACTCCAAGAGCTGCCTATCAATAGACAATGCCATCACATTATATAAATCAGACCATTAATGTTGCATGCCCTATATGGACTAACGCATCAGCCACAAACATCAATAAACTGCAAATTATACAAAATATATTTCTCCGTTTAGCAACTCACGCACCATGGTTTATATCCAACAAACCATTACAAAAAGAATTGAATATAAAATCCATCATTAAACACATAGCCCATCTCTCCAATAACTTTGATTCAAATATAAACTCTATACCACACGTCATCCACTACAACCTCGCCTGAACACACTATACTCCAACACGAATAACAAACCGTTACCCTTTCAGTACCTTCCTAAACATCTTCTCCAACAATTGTGAACAGTGGGCGCAGATTGTAGCTTCCTACCCCTTCGTGTAGTGAGACATAGTTTTTAGGTTAGGAAATAAGAATAGTTGTAAGCCATACAATACATATGAAAAACTGATGTAAACTGAACTATGTACTTCCGAATGAAAAATATATATGTTTAAAAAAAGGGTAAAGTTAAACACAACCGATAACCACTGTTTACTCGTACAGATGTCAAATACTCTAGACGTCCCAAGAAAGTTGTTTTCCAAATTAAGGTTGATTCTCTTGTAAATATAAAATGCCGTTATACAAAAAAATGTGTATGCAACTCGTTTATAATGTTGCTTTATTGCATTTGAACAAATTTGAAAACTCGCCCCTAACGTCGCTCGTTTCCAAACATGAAATCCTGCGATAAAGCTTAACATTATAAACTAATTGCATAAACAGTTATTTTGGAACTGAATTGTAAATTGCACGTTTAACAATAAATTCACACGTTTGCGCTTGTAAATAGCACAGGAAAGTAATTTAATAGTTCATTGAGCATAAATACATTATTATTAATTTAGTATTTAAAGGGTGGTGGTACGTATTAAAATAAAATCGCTGTTGCCTCTGCAGTAGTTAGCCGAGGCTTCGGAGTTAAACCGAAAATATTTCGCAGTTCATTAAACTTTACTTGTTTTAGCCTTCAATAACACACAAATATTTTGGAAAAACATTGTACGTCAGACCAGCTAAAATTCACACTCTGATCGCTACAACCAGACCGCTCAGTGCTATTTCCAATATTACATACACATTTTAAGAACACTATCGTGATATCTTTAGAATAATATTGTCCACAAATTTATATTATTTACTTTTATTGTCATGCCAAGAGTTTTAAAATTTACGAGCTCCTGGAGCAGTTCTCGGGTAATAAGATAATAGTGATAACACAGTAATAAGATTATATACTTTACCGGGTTTTTAAATGATAAAGCTAATCAATACTATTTTCACCAACATGAACTTCCGGGAAGCATGAGACCAGGTGAACAGGTGGACGGCAAAGAAGGGAAAAGAATTGCTAGAAGTGAAATGAGTCGTAGAAATGGAAATGTCCAGCCGGAAAAGAGAATTCTCGAAATTCACATTCAACGAACAACTTCAAAAATATTTTAAAAAAATTAACATATGAATAAATTAACATATATGCGCTTTGCAGCTAACCACAGCATTAATAGAGGAAAGTCTAAAATTCATTTTGTTGATCGCCACAGCTCGAAACGTCACCAAGTGTATCGTCACATCAATATGACGGCAATCGTAAAGCGAGGAGCTGCCCGTCTGGCGATCATAATTAAGCTAATGCTAACGTCCACCGCCGTGTGTGTGCGCGGGTGTACAGTAGCGGGAGGAGAGCGCCTCGCGTGGCCACACGGGGCTTCGAGCCGTGGCGGTCGCAGGGGGGGGGCAGTGGCGGTGGCGGTG